CCGTGACTAAAGTTTTTAAACACGGGAAACACACTTTTAAATACGGGATTCACCATGATTAAAGAGACTGTTTCCTGTAGTGTGATATTTTATCTGGACAAACCCAGACCACAATAGACCGATTGCAATATTGATATGGTCCTTGGCCTTAATTTCTTTTACTTTTGTATCGTGGTTCTCAAGGTTTTGTCTGATTCAGTGATTTGGTTCGAACAACCCATTGCACACTAATATGGTAAAATATCTCGGGTACCACTAAAGTATGAGAATTGTGGGAGGTATACCACTTAAGTAAGAATAGGGCGTCGGGTACAACTAATATTTTATTCCGTACTCTTATATAAAATACCTTTAAAATGATTTAAAAACTAGTTTATGGACTTTTACTAGGCTTAAGACCGTTTACTTGGACTTTTGTGCAAATTTTTTGTTGTTAAAAACTACAATATTTGGAGATCTAATGCGTAGTCTTTTAGATGTTTAGAGTAGCTTTTGACGCATTGGTTTCAATTGATGCCCATTCCTAATTTTTACTCCCCTCTTTTTTCCAATGTATTTCTACTCCTATAGACTACTTCTAAGACCATCCACAATGGCGAAAGGGGAAAATGATGGGAAAAGAGGGTGGGGGAAGTATTTGGCCACAATAGGTGGGAGGAAAAAGAGGGTATTTGTTATTTGTTTTTTGGAAAATCAATCTAGAGTTGATATGATAACTTTATTTTGATAATTTATTTATTATTTTTATATATATAGTAATAATTAATTAAGAAGAACATTTCGATATAACTTTTTTTTCATTTGGACATAATTATTTAATCACTAATTAAGTATGACGTCATCAATGACGAGTCACAATAATTTGCAGATGCCATGACTCATCACATGTTTCACATAATGAGTGGTTCCATCAATTTTTTTATCATCTTTAATCATATTGAGTGGTAAAATCAAATGTTCATCCAACTTTAATCAGAATGACATGTGACATTAACTGTGCATCCAGCTTTAATCATATTGAGTGGTGTCATCAACTGTTCATCCATTTGTCATATTATTGTTGGAGCATCTTTTCGTGTTTCTATAAATGAAGGCTAAACTTTGTCAACCCATTCATGACAACATTCAACCTTCTTCATTCTCTCACCTTCATATTTCTCTCAACACACATTAACTTCTTTTTCATCATGAGTTCCCCTAATAGAGAAGCCGATGAGAGACAGCAGGAAGATGGCAATTGGAATATGAGTGTCAGCTTGACCGTGATCATCAATAGATGATGGTGATGGCATGAGCCTTCATGTTCCAAGAGGAAGCATCCTCGTCTCGACATTGTTCACATTCACATAAAGTTATGTGGCGTAATAGGGTAGAAGCACACCAACGCTTGATGTAGCAGTATTTCGTTCTCAATCCAACCTACGACGCTAGGTTATTCAAAAGGATATTTCAAATGCCCCTCTCCTTGTTCAACCGAGTCATGAGTGTCTTTGTTCAACACGAACCCTACTTTCACCAAGGCCGAGATGCTGCGGGTCGCCTGTCATTCTCCCCCGAACAAAAGCTTACTACTTCCCTACGGATGCTTTCAAATAGATGCTCAGCCGACTCCCTAGACAAGACTTTTGATATGGGCGAGACCACTGTACTGTAGTGTAGGCGTAAATTTTATAATGCCATTATCTGCATCTATGGCCCTGGGTACTTACGATCACCAAATGTGGAGGATCTTCGCCGCCTTCTTCATCACTGCAATCGACGTGGCTTTCCGGGTATGATCGATTCAATCGACTGCATGCACTGGGAGTGGAAAAATTATCCAATGGCGTGGTAATGACAATTTACTGGATACAAGGGGAAGCCAACAATTGTCCTGGAAGCTATAGCATCATATGACACCTGGATTTGGCATGCCTTCTTCGGAAGTCCTGGACCAAACAATGACATAACAATGCTTGGAGTCTCCCCACTGTTCGATGAAGCAGTCAGAGGAAATCTTTCAAAAGTCAGGTATACGGTAAATGGTAAAATTTACGATCAATGTTACTACTTAGCTGACGGGATTTATCCTGAATGGTCTACATTTGTGAAAACCATTAGCAACCATAGTAACCAGAAGAAGAAACTTTTTGCAAAATGGCAACAGTTATACCACAAGGATGTTGAGAGAGTTTTCGGCATTCTACAAGAAAAATGGTCTATTGTTGGAGCTCCGGGTCGATATTGGGATGCACAATCATTGGGAGAGACTATGCTAACTTGCATTATTCTACACAATATGATAGTTGAATACCAACGAAATAAGTTTGGAGGGGAACAAGTGGATGCCTTTGAATATGAGACAAATTTAGATGCCACATTGGATCCACCGGATCCTAACACTCCGACTCTCGTGGAGTACCTGATAAGGCATAATAGGATTTGTAACCGTGAAGGGCATCATGCGCTGAAAGCGGATTTGGTTGAGCATTTGTGGACAAGAGCAGGAGGAGGGGAGTAGAAACATGGCGTGGCTCTAAATTTAATTTGAGCACTTTAATTACTTGAATTTGTATTGTGTGCTGAGTTTACTTTATGTCTTTTTGTTGTGCTTTGTTATCAATATATTCTCCATTTTCTGGTGTCTTAATAAAGAAAGTTGTTGCATTAAATATTGAACAAAAACATAAAAAGGATACATTGAGAAATACTTAAAACAAACACATTTAAAATAAAAGATACATCAGGGGTGAATTGAAAGTACTTAAAGCAAACACACTAAAAATAAAGGATACATCAAGGACAAATTGAAAGTAATTAAATCAAACACACTAAAAATAAAACATACATTAATAATACACCAAACAACTTCTTAGAGAATATTGGTCAGGGGTGTAAGTGTAATAAAATGGGCTACTGGAAGATCCACTAGGTGGTGTAGAAGTTGGTGATAGTTGGTATGCAAATATAATTTGATCTCTTAGAATTTGGTACCATGCCTTTTGTTGAGGATCCAATTAAGAAAGATCCTGAAACATGATTTCTCGCTCGTACCTACTTTTTTCCCTTGCTTCTTTCGCTTTCTCTCTTTCCTCCTATCGACAACCAATCTTGCATGTGTTGCCGAACTTGCCGCCATGTCCGCCAAACTCTTTTGAAAAGCTTCCATGCTAGAAGAATCACCACCTCCTCTTTTTTTCCTCTTTTGTTGATCTCGGGCTTCGGGACGGTTGAGCACTCTTGGAGCAGCAGCTACATGAAGGTCTGGGCTATCAGGTTCATCACTTGACATAGCCGATTGAGATCCATCCATTGATGGAATGTGTGCAACATGAGCATAAAATTGTTGCATAAATCTTGAACACTCTTGGAGTAGTTGCCAACATTCTTCCAACTTCCCGTCTTTCTTCGTGTCTGCATTGAAAATAGCTTTCGCGTCATTCGTCTAAACAATTAATTAGAGAACAATACACATCATTAAAAATTAGAACACTAAAATTATACCATTAATTTAGAAGTTGACTCCTTGGTTAGTTCCGCTCGGTAGATTAACATTTGCACTCCTCAATGTCGCACACCACTTCTGACATGAATGGTTGATAAACTGCTATCTAGTCTTCAAGGCGCCATTGGTACGATTGATCATAAAACCATTTGCAGAATATAGATCTCCAATTCTTTTCTAGGAAGCTGGTGAAGATTGATAATGATCAATGATAGGATCTTGTGAAACTTTCATTCAAGCTTAGCACAAAACAAGGTCTTCAGACGTTGTGTAATTCGGATTGCGCTCGCTGTCGGATGAAACCATTATTACGATTACAGAGAGTTTGGGAAGAAGATAATTTTTTGTTTGGAAGGTAGGAAGAGAGTTTCAGAAGTGTTGAAAGAAATTGAATAATGAGTTATATATAGAGCAGGAAAAAATATGGTCATTGAAAATATGGTCGTTGAAAAAATAGCCGTTGGAAATATGACGGTTGTAAAATATGGTTGTTGGCTGATAAAATACGAAAATCCCCATCAGACAACACTAAAAATAAACATTGAAAAAAAGGAGAATCCAACCAGTCGCATGCCCTCTCTCCTCCTGCATGGTCCCCCCTCCTCCTCCTTTTAACGTTTCGTGGAGGAAAAACCCACCCCCAATATCCTTCTTTTCCTTTTTTTCCCATAAAAAATTCTTGTTGTGACTAGTCTAACAAGTCATAGAACAAGCAGATTCACGAAGGTAGTGGTCGCTTTAACGAAACTCCGAGCCACTTGAGCATAGCTCTGGTAGAATCTGCCCCTTTATCTTCCTTATTGAAGATGACATCTTTCTGTTTAGACCGACATCAAAATGCTCATATGCACCCGCCTTTCCAGCTCTGCAGCGATGCCCCATTCCGGACTATTGAAGTAGACAGAAAATTGACAAAAATGTGGAGAATTCTAGAAGAGATGAAGGCATGAAGCGAAAGCTGAGGGAGGAAAAGGTGAAGGAATTGCTTCAATTAGTGCTTGGAATGAAAATGCCGAATGAATTAGGTGAATCGAAGTAAGAGATGAAATTGGCCACGAATTTCAGGTGCCCGAATTCGGATTTGAATCTAGGATTTGGACGATAGGAAATGAGGAGGAATTGAGGATTTTTCCCCAAATTACACAAGTTCTTAAAAAAAATTCTCAAAATACACACGTTTTATAAAATATTCCCAATCTACCCATGTTTGGACTTCACCGCGACCGTCAAACACGGTGAATAACACCACCGTGGCCGACAAAAGCAGTGAATGGTTCACCGCGACCGTCAGAAGCGGTGAACGCCTAACCTATGCCAAAACTTTGAACAAACCTAGCTTTACGCTTAGTTTTCCGATTGTAGCGAAATTTTTTTTATTCCGCATAATTTTTCGAGATCTTTCAAGTCGCAAACAGCCAGAGGCAATTTGGTCCAGCCTTTGTCCCTAACAAACTTCGTTTGCTATCCCAAACGAGCAATTTTCAAATTTCACCAAACTTTATACCGTCATAACTTTGTGCTACTTAACCCGAACGTTATAAATGTTTTTTTTATTCCGATAACTTTTTAAATACCAGAACTTTTATCATGGAAACAAAAAGGGGAACAAACTTTTGAGTTCTTTAATTAGAAACTCATCCACTTCCAAACATCACTTTTTACTCAAATTCTACTAATAAAAATTGGGTCCTAATCTCTCATTATCCGAATTCCTAATCCAAAGTGAGTTAGGCCTTCAGAGGTTGCAAGACTTCATCAATGAATTGCTGGGTAAGAGCACTTGGAAGCCCCATGACAGTATCCGTATTTCCGATCTGCAAGCAAAAGACACCCAAGTTACATTAACAAGAATCTCTGAAGGACAGATTTTGGCAATGCAAGTTTCTCTGTATACTAAAACCCACAAGAAAGCTGAAAGGGAAAGTAAAAGGCGAACCACTGCTTCAACAAACGGCAATGTTAATGGATGTTCCAGCATCAGACCTCCAGCCACTTTGAAAGTTATTCCTTCCTCGATCTTCACAACATCATTCCTTGGTCAATGATTGAGCTAAGAGTGAACAAGTAAATCAAGAGGGAGATATGATTCCATGCCCGAATCCCTTACCAAGCTATCGACAATTTCGTCGGGTATCTCATGGAAATATACCTCTGCTCTCTCCCAAGTGACCCTTCTTGAACCTGTATTGAGATTGGTTACAAGTATAGATCCTACAACTGCAGCGTGACCACCAGAATAGCCTGCAAGCAACAGCAAACTCAATGCTAGATGAATATCAGAGATGGCTGGCTCATTAGAGAACTCAGTAAGCAACCTTTTATGAATTCCCGTGCTTCGTCCTCACTGGTCGGTTTCTCTCTCACCACTCCTTTATATACCACCACCTGAAGTCCACACAGAACTTACAGTACATTAGCTATAGACTATGTGACCATGAATCAAATAGTGATGAATTCATAAACCCAGTTAATTCGTCCAATTAATGAATGAGGACCCCAAGGATCATTGCTCAACTCAACCAATTCCAATCAATGCAGCATCACTGTGATTATTGAACTAGTATCTTACGGCATTTATTAATGGGATACTGCAAATCAGGTTCTTTAAGTTCTACTCGAATACTTCGGATGAAAATTTGAAGCTTGTGAGATTGATGGAGTGTTCATGTCTCAGTCGGAAATGAGATTGCCCCAATGAAAACAGTTCAGTTGTTTCTCCATTGATTCGTAGCTTAGGACAATGAATATGAATGTCTATGGACTACACATAACAGAAACAGAGAAATTGGCTATGAATTCAATCATACCGTATCTGCAGTAATCAACAAGGTCATATCAGTATCTTTCTGCAGTTGACCTGTGTTCAGAAGTCTTGCTATGATGGCATCTGCCTAGGAAAAAGCCCCAGATAAGAACACCATATCGACAAACGGAACTTCAAAGCAGAATCACAAGGTCAGCTAATCGAACCCATCCCAGTTTTGCCGTAACTGCCATAGAATCAGCATCTACTATGAATAGACAAATTAAAGGCACCTGAAAGAGAAGAAGTCATACCTTAGCTTCAGCTAGAGCCATCACTAATTCTTCCGGCTTATCTTTCCTTATACTTCTCTCATCAATATCTGCAGTCTAAAATCCCCAAATTCTCAGTCAATTCTTCCACAGAAAATCACAGGAACTCTTCTCGTTAGGGAAGAGGAATAAGAACATACCATGACTCTAAATTCATAACCCATCTCAGCTAGAATCCGTTGCCGAGCAGTTGACGCCGAACCCAAAATTATCTGTCACAAATTATCACGACCCACTGTAAGTAAAATTGAGAATGTCTCTCGAATGTGTAAGAACTCCACCTTCCCCCATTATTTCCGGGAATTCTGTGGGAGGTCGCACGGCATTGAACCAATTCCAACTTCCAGAGCATGGATCTCAAATTTTTGGCATAGAAAACATAAAAACAATGCATCTCAATCAGAAGAACCTGAAACGAAGGTTTCGACATTGATGCCGTCGCCACGTCTAGCTTCGCACCAATGGCTGTGCGTGGGGGAGACGCCCTGCCTCTGTTCGCTGTGCGTGGGGGAGAAATGAAAGAAGTTATGCCCCTCTTTATCACTATCTACCAGTTACTCAGTTAGTGATTAAAATTCATTTTATATTAAGGAAGAATAAGTCCTCTAGTTTAATGAATGGTGACATATCAGTACTTCAAATTTATTTTTCAACACCAAAGACTCACGTGGGACAACTTAGGGTTTGTAGTAATCACCGTGGTTACTAAGGGTAAATTGAGTATGAAAAATAAATTGTATTAATTAATTTTTTTAATAAATTACATTTTAGATAGTTATAAGAATCTATTAATTACAATTCAATCTCTTTCTCTCACTTCCATTATCTCCAACCAGATCTCATTTCCTTATTTTTCTCAATCTTTCTGCAAAAGAAAAAAAACACGAAATCACTACCAATCCATTAGGGGACTAGATACTATAACAACACTCATTTTGTTGTTATTGTAACAACACTAGCCTCCAACCAATAGGAAGCTAGGATTGTGATGACTTTTTATTAGTTGAGTTGACCTAGTGTAAAATCAAAGCAGGGGTATAATTGTCATTATGAAAAAATAAAAAAATAAAAAATATTTTTTTTATTTTCTGCCCAAAATTTTGGTCGCCGGAATTCGGCCACCGGTCACCGGAATCTGGTCGCCGATCACCGGAATATGCTTTTCGTCGCCAGAATATGCTATTTTCTCATCGGAATATGCCACTGTCGCCGGAATATACTTACCGGCGTCGGAATATGCTTACCGGCGTCGGAATCTAGTAATCGGGGCCGGAATATGCCTATCGACGCCGGAATCCGGTCACTGACGGTCATCGGAGTTTGGTCAACGGTTTTCATTGACCGGTCAACGGTTTTCGTTGACCAGTCAACGGTCAACGACCACCGGATGTTATGGTTTTCATTGTGAGATTTATGGTTTGGTTTCTCACATTTTTGTATGCCTTTTGTGGTTTGCTTTATCGTGTTTATGGTTTGCATTGAGAAGTTTCAGGTTTGCTTTATCGTGTTTGTGGTTTGCATTGAGAAGATTCTGGTTTGCTTTCAAAAATTTTGTGTTTTGCATTGAGGGATTTGTGGTTTGTTTTAGGAGATTTGTGGTATGCATTAGGAGGTTTCTGGTTTGTTTTTGTGGTTTGCTTTAACGTGTTTGTGGTTTGAATGATGAGGTTTCTGGTGTGTTTTTGAATATTCTTTGGTTTTCTTTGTGAGGTTTCTGGTTTGTTTTAATATATTTTTGGTCTGCATTAGGACGTTTCTGGTTTGTTTTTGTGGTTTGCTTTACTGTGTTTATGGTTTGCGTTATGAGTTTTCTGGTGTGTTTTTGAAAATTTTGTGGTTTGCTTTGTGAGGTTTCTGGTTTGTTTTAAGGGATTTGTAGTATGGATTGGGAGGTTTATGGTATGCTTTTTTTTATTTGCTTTATCGTGTTTGTGCTCTGTATTATGAGCTTTCTGGTATGCTTATGAAATATTTGTTGTATATTTTGTGAGGTTTCTAGTTTGTTTTAGGGGATTATTGGTATGCATCAGGAGACCACTTACTAATCTGTAGTCACTACTCACTACCACATTTTAAATTTATTAGGTTATATAGAACAAGGAAGCAACCATGAAGTTACATTATACAGGCCAGAGCAGACTCAATGTAAAACATATTTTCGCTTGCACCCCTGACCCCAAAACTGAATTCACAGTCTGCCACTCTTCGTCCCTCCAATGATATCGTCATTTCTGAACCAACTCCTCACTCATCTCTTTCTTAATCTCCTTGTAAACTGTAATTGTTGAAGCCGTGATACTCTCTCACCCTCGAGACTCTTCCCCTTGCTCCGCGCCTAACGCTTGGACCCTGCAGGACGGGCGCCGAGAGGGCTTGACCCGTCCGTTAGCACTCCGACGATCAAGTTAGGTGCTATTCTAGAGAGAGAAGTGTAGAAAGAAGTTTAGTGTGAGAAAGACCAACCTGCTTAAATGCTACCTACCAAGTGCTATTTATACTACTCGAGCTCCTCGACCAAGCTCCGACCAACTCCTGCCACCAAGGCTTCTGTCAGCCTAGCATTAAATGCCCGGTCTCCCCTGGCGCCTACGCGCCTACACGTGGCATACCGTCCATTTTCCACGTCGGGGCGCATAGGGGGACCACCTGCCTCGTGGCGCCCTTCTGACCTTGTCCACCTGTACTCCCTTGTCCGCGAGCCTATTTTGTCGTCATGCGCCCCTGCTCCTTCATAATTACCTGGGTCATACTCTCATGGGCCACAAATAGGCTTCAGGCCCAACAGGCTCCTAACCTTTATGAGCTCCTTTCCCCTATCTCAATAAGGCCCAATGGGCTCTTAACTTTCATGGGCTCCTCTCTACTACCCCAACAATTGCCCCCCAGTTAGGTGTTCACTGGTGAGCGCCTAACTATATGCCTGGCTTTCCTTAGGCTTCGTGTCACCAGGAGGCGCCCGAATTTGCTTTGCATAAGCCTATGCGCCCCTACCCTAAGGGATGCGCCTTCGGTGTTTATTTCACGTTGCCCCCCTGCCTTTTCAGCCGCTCTCGCACCTAGGTTAGGGCGCATAAAAGAAAAAAAACAGGAGGCGCATAACCGCGATCCCCATCATTCCACCTGGTTTTGAACAATCAAGGAGGCGCCCGGCCCTGCTCTGACCACGCCTTCTAGACTTACACATGTTCAATCACTAAGGCGCCCGCTTGCACCTAGGTTCGGGCGCATGAAAGAAAGAAATAGGAGGCGCATAATCACGATCCTCATCATTCCACCTGGTTTTGAGCGATCAAGGAGGCGCACGGCCCTGCTCTTACCAAGCGCATGACCGTGCGCGTGACCGTACCTCCTGCCCCCCACTCGGTGTGCGTTCAAATTTTTGAATTTCAAAATTCAAATTTTGAACGGAGGGCGAGGATTGGATCGTTCAGCGCGCGGTTTCCGAGGTGACTCTTCACCTCCTCCCCTCCTCTTATAAATATTCACCCTCCTCTCCATTCTACCTCATTCATCCCAAATCTGCTTCTCTCTCTACTTCCTCTCTCTAGCTGCTCTCTATTTTTCACGCCCACGCGCCCTCTGTTCTCACATCTGTGCGCCCTTCCTGCTCTCCCCGAACCATGTCGAAGTCAGATTCTGGCGCGGCGCCGACCTCCGCCGACAAGGAGGCGCCTAGCGTTCTTGACGTCTTGGAGCAGCATCTGTCGCCTGACCCGATGCGAAACCAGGATCAGAGAGCGCCTCGATCGACCAAGGAGGCGCCCAAGCAAGCGAAGGGTAATTCTTCTTCCTCCACGCCTGCTAATGTCGAGGCGCCCCTAACGGCAATACCAGTCTCCAACGTGCCTGAAGATTCAGATGCGCCTTCGGAGTCCGCGCCCACGGCTTCCACCACTAACCAAGGTATTTTTCCTATGCCCCCATGACTTCCACTCCTTCTATTTTGCATTGCTCCTTTGTTAGGCGCCCATTAGCGATCTTAGGTCCGTGTCATTGATCGAGGACGATTGGATAACTTTTAGGCTCCGCGCCTACTTCGGACTCCGCGCCCGCTTCGTCAGAGTCGGGTGAGGTGCAAAATTCTCCAGCCTCCACCAACTCAGGCGCCCCTGAAGATGGGTCGTTCAAGATAGTTGATTGGGTCGATACTTGGCCACAGGGTGGGGCGCCTGAGAATATAATCAACCTGCCCGTGACTCGAGCTGGGCCAAACCACGTGGCCACTGTCAAAATAGCAGAGTTGCATCGCCTGATAACCTCGTGCAACTTACCCCGGAGCTGGTCTTATGCGCCTGCCCCGCGGGTCACCAGGGTAGGCGTTGTGGGTCCTCGCTGGATTGGGATCTACCGAGAGTACTTCAAGTTCGGGTTGCGCTTTCCCTTGGATTCGATTTTACAGGGAATTCTGGATACATGCGCCTGTCCTATTGGGCGCCTGTCACCGTCCATCTTCTTGATACATGTTTTGTTTAAGTTGAAATGCCGTCAGAACGATATCACTCCAACGTTCAAGCTCTTCAAGCACTTTTTCACGATGACCAGCAGTAAGAATTGCCTATCTCTACAGAGGCGCCTGGACATTCCGGGACATTTTGTGGAGGATTGCCCCAAGTTGGGGCGCGCATGGTATAGGTCTTATTTCTTTATCAAACCGCACGCGGACTCTTTTTATGAGAGTGGTGGTCGGTTTACCCGGCGTTGGAGGGTTGGCAACACCTCGCGCTTTAATGTTGACGAGGCGTTAACCAGGGAGGAGGAAGAGCATGCGCGCCTGTTGTCCCTTTATCCAGTTAACTTGAGTTCGACAGCCGCGCGTGTCCCTGTTCTTCACGAGTACTATGCTGATGGTGGGTAGGCGCATAGTGTTGCACTTGCCTCGCTGTTGGTTAATGCGCCTGTGCTATACGTATATGGCTAACTTTATTTTAACTATGTTGTGTATTGTCTTTTCAGGCGTGGACTTCACCTCCGTGGCCTCCTTGATGAAAACCCAGCTGGAGAATATGGGTTTAGACTATCAAGCGCCTGTGTTCCCAGGCCAGGGCGCCTCCAAGAAGAAGGGCGCCGCGAAGAAAGGAAAGAAGAGAACCACCCCAACACAAGCACGGACCGGAGGCAAAACCAATGCGCCTAGTGCTCCGGCCAGCGGCGGAAAGGGGCGCTCGAGTCCGCGAAGAATCAAGCCACAGAAAGTGGCAAAGGCTTTGGAAGAGAATGCGCCTGTCATTGCGCAACCTGAGGGGGGGGGGGGCCTCTTATTGTTCAGTCCGATCCCGAGCTGGACATTGATGAAGTCCCCCTGTCAAACAAGCTCAAAAGGAAGTCTGATGAGGGCGCATCGACTCAGGGCAAGAAGCAGCGCATAGAAGAGGAGGCGCCTGTCCACCCCTTTGTGAAAAAGTGGTTGCAACCACCGAAACACCGGGTCGTGGTGGAATGCTCGGATAGGTCGGCATTGGAGCGAGGCTCTGCGCTCGGTTTCGCTTTCCACGCCGCCGAAGTACTGCGGGCGCCCTCGAGTGTTGAGTGGAAGAATCTCTAGGGAGA